TTTGGTAACGTCCTTAAACCACTCCCAAGTTCTGTTCAGTTTCCTGGGTTTTCACTCTAAACTCCTTCATTAGGTACTAATTAAATATGCCTGCCCAGAGACATTCCTTGTCTTAGCCAGCAGAGTCTCAAGCACTGCAGAGGGCTTTGCTCCTCCTGGAGCCCTAAAATCATACCACTTATGTCATTTATTTAAGCCTGCACAGTAGACTTTTTTGGGAGTTTGAGGAACTAGGCCAGATCCCTGCTAGGCATTGTCTCCTTTCTCCATTTTCCTTATGCTGCTGTGCTCAGCACCAAAATGAGTGAATGTGGCCATGTGACTCCAAGACTTTTAAATGGTTGCTGTGTGCCAGATTCGACTCCAGGACTTTGCTGTCTGAGATAATTCAGATTCTGGGGGAATAATAATTGTGGTATTTAGGACCCTGTGCCTCAACTGCGTCCTAGCTTCCCATTTTGCAGGGTGACCTGAGTAACCTGCTTAACCTCTCCACATTTCTTCCCCGTTTCTCTGCTTTTATGATTATGATTTGTCCATCAAAAATGATGCCAATGTCACATTCTGCACAGCTCTCAATGTTCTGGGGGCAAGGATGTGAAAGGATGGAGAAATAAATATAAGAGACAATGTATAGAAAGCTAAAGTCAGGTGGAGCCCTCTCTTTGGATAGGAGACAAGGAACTGCTCAACCATTGCGATGCTTTTATGCATGTATTTCTCCTGAGGCACCCCTTTGCTTAATTAGCTTGCCTCTCATGCCCCATGTTCTTGGGACTGAAATACCTTTTTGCTTGGTAGATTCCATGTCTTCAGGGCATTCTTTGGGTGCTTTGTGCTCTCAGCTCCACATGTATGAACTATCACTAGCCCAGCCACTCCTGACATCTCCCCTTTTCTGCTTTTATAGTTGCCGTCAGTATGTGTTCACTAGAAGTTGGAGGAACTGTGTTTGGAGGACTCTGCTGAACTGTTTTTTCTTTATGGTGACACTTTTCCAAGGGATGTTTAAAAGCAAGTCAAAGTGAGATATGTATTCATTAAAATTATTTTCTTGCTATCTGTCAAGGCCAGAATTGCCTGAAAACCATGTACAGCACCTCTTAGTACTTCTATAAGTGTCAGTTTTCTGAGGAATCATGTCCGTTGCTTGAGCAAGTTGTTTCTATGACAGCTTAGGAGATTCTTCTCTCATGGTGTCTCTCCATAGGCACAGTATACACCATTGATCACTTTCACCTGTGCGGCCTCAAACTCCTTGAAGACCAGAGTCTCATTGAGATGTCCCAGCAGAGGGACCTCACTGATATCCAAGGGCTCAAGCCAAAATATTGGCTATCCTCTTAGCCCATGTATCCTTCTCAAGTTTTGGCCTTCAACCCTCAGTTATTGAACATGCAGAAGAGAAGATCGTGATATAACGTTGTAATAGGTTCAGTGAGGTTAATATACAAAATAGAACTACTGTTTTCTATCAACTATGGATGTCCTAGTATTTAAATTGTTACAGAATATTAACAGATAGCAGTCACATATTTTACACAGAAATTTAAAAATCAAAAGTCATAAATAATCTTGCAGTATCACAATCATGATGACACTTTGTAATACACTTAAGTTTTCATTTTGACATAGTACAACATTTTTAGTCAATCACCTCTTGCACATGAGAAGCTTTTTTTTTTAACCTAATTTGCTGTACCTTTGTGGGACGTCATCACACAAATTTTGGTAACGGTAGATGTATGAATCTGAAACAAAAAATCTATCACTAACCCGTCCCAATTCCATGCTTTGGAAGATCTGTGCATTTGCTGGCAAGAAGACCTTCAATATACTTTCAACATGGCTTTGTTCTGTCTTGTTTTGTTAGATTTTATCCTGTCACATGGTAGGACCAGCAATTTTTAATGTAATGGGATATATTATGGAATCATGGTTTCCTATTGTATTGCTTTGATGTCTTATAGTGTTTTAATCCATTGGTTTGATTGGTTTTATTCTGCTTTTTTATTTTATTATGTGTGGTGGTATAAACAGCTAATTTGAAGAAAACAGACATTCTGATAGCTATTGATGATTTACTATCATCTTGTTTTGAAGTCCTACCATGCTTTTGTTCTTCTGTTTTGATTGCTTCTATCCTGTTGTGTTTTATTTCATTTTATTAAATGTGATGGTATAGACAATTTTTTACAGAAAATAAGATGTTATATAGCCATTGTTAATTTTCTGTTATTTGGCTTTGAAGTTCTGTGCTTTCACTCTCTCAAATGGTTTTATATTATTTTGCTGTGTTTGGTATTAATGTGAGTGAAGATATGCTCAAGTATTTCCAAGAAAACAGACATTATGCTAGCTATTGTTGATGTCCAGTTGTCTTGTTGTGAAGTGCTGTGTTGATTGCATTGTTCTGTTCTCATTTGCTCTGTTCCGTTTGCTTTTTTTATATTCTCTTTAAAATAATACATTTTTTTAAAAAGAAAAGAATAGCAACTTTGGTCTCTGTGAAATGAATTACTCTAGTCCAAGCTAAGTTAGACCACTAATTGCATTGTGCCACATGCCAGGACCCTGTCAGCTGGCCTTAATAATCCTACCTGGAGAGTGGGTAGCATCTTGAGACTTTAGAGCAAATAACTCTCTTTTCTTACTGCAAATAAAGAACTGTCCCAAATATCTTTTACTCTTCTGCTAAGAAGTAACTTACAAAAGGGAAAAAAAATGCACTGATCCTCAAGTGTCAGTATTTTCTAAGAAACAAATCAGAGTGACCTCACGTAGCTTTGCAGAGAGATATTGGGCTTTGTAGTCTGAACTGGTTCATGAGAAAAACAGGTTAAGACTAACATGGTGACTCTGAAACAGAGTTACATACATGTTTCTGACCTTTGATTCCCTAAACACCTAGAATACTATAGAAGCACTGGGCTTCTGTCTATAGAATACAATGAATGGCCAAAATGAACCAAACTGTAACAAACAGTAACAGGCCAAACTGTAACCCAGAAACAGGCTCTTTGAAGGGAGTAAGGCACAAGATTCAATATATCTTGGTACAGAAAGACAGAGCACAGAAAGCCCATTTTTGGGGAACAAAGAGAAGAGGAGGGTTTGTAGGGTAGGTAAGGACACAAGTTTAGCTATTGTTGAAGGGTGTCTGGACAGGGATGTGGTATGAGGAGGTCTGAGCAACTATCAGTGGTCAGATTCTTAAAGCCTCTTGTGCATCAGTGGTGAATCTTCTCAGAGTTTCTGATGCAAATATATGGATGTTATCAGATGTGCTGGCACTGGAAAGATTGTGTGCTCTACCTTATCTCTGCTTTACAGCATTCTGTCCTGGATTTCTGAAGGCAGCAGTGCTGCTAGGTTGTGGTTTTGCTGGGAACAATCTGGGTGTTGAAAAACAGCTTGGGTGCTGGGAAAGCCATGTCCCCATCAAGCGTGACACAGTCGAGCCACTTCTTGCTAAGTACAGCTTGCCAAGGGATATCATGAGTCGGGCTTGTCCATGTCCCAGTAATTCTCAGCTGATAAATTTTACCTTCCACTTCAGAACTGTATTCTCTGTTACTCATGGTTTATATCCATTTTTAGAATTCTATCATTAGAGGATTTGTAGGGACACATAACTTTTTAGCAGCAGCAGCCTGTAGTGGATTGGTAAATAGTGGTCAGCTTAAAACAGCAGCTGAACTGAATCAGGAAGGTGCTAAGAGTGGATGGCCCACTTGAGGACTGTTGTCAGCACAAAAACGAGACCTGAAGAGAAAGAGTAGCACCACGGGTTTTCCAAAGTGTTGCTGTTGTTGTTGTTTAGAACCATAAGTCCTGCTGGAGAAGCTTGTCATGATGGCTCCCCTGACGTGACTTTGGCTACCATCATCAGAGGAGGTCTGGACTTGTCCCTGAGAATGGCTGCAGTTCATGTTGGTGGAGCTCTGGGCCTTACTTTGAACATTGCTTCCTGGCCCCAGAGGGGAAGATGTGTGCTGCTTAATCTTAGGAGCAGTCTGTCACGCTGGCTTCCTGATATGTACTCAGCTGTTCTCATGGTCAGAGGAGCTCCCGACCCCATCGTCACTGAGGGTGGCTGCCATAGTTTTTGGGAGAGCCCTGGTCCTTACTGTGAACATCACTTCTTGGCTCCACTGCAGAACGCTCCACCTACTGGCAGGGATCCTTCAGCCCGCTGCCATAGACTTTCTAAGCTTCCACTGCTGGCCTTTTCCTTCCCAGTGCAGATCTGTGAAACAGACTTGCATGAGTCATTTTCGGGCTCTAGGTCTTCAGCTGAACTCACGCAGGTTATTGCTGTGGGACCAGGTCCTCAGCTGGATTTTTTAAGTCCTTAGAGATGTGGAAAGTTTTCTTGCACTTTCTATTTGACTACTTGTGTGACTATTACGAATAATACTACAAATTGTGTTTCCTGTAAGTAATTTTTGTCCTTCCAACCTCTGACTACAACACTGCCTAAGTCTTGACAGGTTCTCATTTTTTAAAATTTCACTGTTTATCTAATTTAAATACTTGGAAATTATTTTCCAAATGTTCTTCTCTCGTTGAAAATGAATGTAGTTTAACTTTAAGAAGAAGAAAGTGGAATTTAATCAGGAATATAGAAAAGATGATATTCAGTAATTCTGTGAAAAAAGAAAACTAAATAATATTTCTGTGAAAAAAAAAAAAGGAGAAAACTCTTAATGATATTCACAGGGCTAATTTTCAGGACTATAGCTATCAGTTAGAAAACAAACTCCCCAAGTCTTTCCCACAGTCATCATGATGTCAAAGAAAGACGGGGAAAATAAATATGTGATAAATAACTACACCAACGGAAGCCTGCCTGGTGATTTGTCATTTATTTATTTCCCATATCATTGCACAGCACGGAACATAGCAGCAACAGAGTCTCCTTGGATTTTATAAGCTGCAAATATACTTGAGTAAATGAGATTCATAGTGTGTAAAATTGCTGTTTTCTTTCTGCACAGATGCTGGTTTAGAATCAGCAAGAGAAGAAGCTCCACTGACAGGCAGCAGGTGGAGGTTCCGGGGAGCAGAGTGTCTCCTCCTTGACTGCAGGGAGGTGCTACTGTGCACTGCTGTGTGAGCACTGCTTGCCGGCAGTGAGGCCACCATTTGAAAGGCCTGAAGGAATGTTTCTATGGATTCCAGAGTGCAAGTGAGTGATCAGGTCTGTATATAACAATTCAGTGCAAGGCTTTTACCTTCTCCTTAAACCTTGATTTAAGGATTCCTTTGGCTTTGACTCCATAATGTCTTAGTAAAGTTTTCACATAGAATAGTAGAGAAATCAGAGGAAAATTACAGTAGTAACAGTGTTTTAATCTTGATGGTCACCATGGCAGGTGTTTCAAGTTATCCACACTTGAAGTCCTGATGACACAGGTAGTCAGTATAACTATTAATTAAAATATTGTTACCAATATTTTAAAATTGTATTTTTAAAAGTAGCATTTCTAAAATAATTTATTGATGTACAGTTGACTGTATTATATTTAAGAGGAATAATTTGTTTTTTATGTATGCGTACACCCATGAAATTATCACAGCAGTCCCTAACAAAGGTACCAATGCCTCCACAATGAATCTTCATGTATATTTGCAAGTGCTCTTTCTTCTCCTTTCTCCTATGCCCAGGCAACCACTTAATTGCTTTCATAAAGATTATTTGCATTTTCTAGAATTTTACATCCATGAAATCATATTGAAAGAATAATTTTTATCTGACTCTTTTAACTCAGTATAATTCTTTTATCTTCATACAGGTTGTGTATAAATTTGGTTTTTATTATGATGTATATTATATTTTGTAGAAAGTCACAACTTGCTTATTGACTTCTTTGGTTCCTGGGTTATTCTGATTATTGCCTTTTATAAATAAAGTTACTATGACTATCCTGGTGCAAATTTTTTGTACTTTTATTAAGATACTCATCATCTGAACATGGTGGTATTTTTGTGGTTTTGTTAGGTGATGAATTGACCCCGTGCATCAACTTATACATGTCTCTGACATTGTGGTAGAGTTATCAGGTTAAATTTAGAATATTAAGTTAAACTTGAATTTCAAATACATCATGAATTTTATTTAATTACCAAGGACTAAACCTAAGGCTTTTTCTTTGAGCTACATCTCCTGCCCTTTTCAGATTTTGTTTTACTTCAATTTTGAGGCAGGGTCTGGAGAAGTAACTAAATTGCCCAAGCTGGGTTCAAACTTCTTACCTTCTGCCTCAGCCTCCCAGGGAGCTGACATTGTACGCACAAGTCTTCAGGCCCAGCTTGAATACCGTATTACTGTAAATACGTTATTTGTAATATAGGTCTAATAGTTTTACAATTTTTGTTACTTATTTGGAACTTAAATACTCACTATATTTTTATTTGTTATTAGATCTGCTTGCTAGCATTTTGAGAGTTTTCGTGTTTTTTTTTAGTCTATTCTGTGCTGATATAACAAAATATCTTCTTATTGGATTTTAATATTTGTAGTAGTATAAACAAAATTTTTTATGGAAAAGGAGATAATATATTAGCCATTGTTCATTTCTGTTATTTGGTTTTGAATGCCCTGTAATACTTTCATTATCTTTAATGGTTTTACACTAGTTTTTTATGTTTGATACTATTGTATGTGAAGGTATGCTCAATTATTTCAAAGAAAGAGACATTATGATAGCTACTGTTAATATTGGATTGTCTTGTCGTGAACTACTGTGTTGCTTACATTGTTCTGATCTGTTTGTTCTGTCCTCTTTTGTCTTAATCTCTTTAAAATATAAAAAGAATCTGAGGCTGAGTGCCCTATTAAGAAAAAAAGCAAAACAAAATACAGAAGTTTAAGAAACAAAAAAGGAAAAGCTCTTAACTCACGGTTCTGGAAGTCTAAGAGTGTGTGACTGATACCTGTTCAGCTATGGTCAGGGCCTCTTGGTAAATGGCATCACATAGTAGGAATGTGTTCAAAAGTGGCCAGAAGAGAGCCAAATGTTCAGAGTAATCTTGCATTACCCAGAAAAACTCACTCTTGTGGTAAATAATGTATTTCCATGAGACCTAACACTTCTTCAAAATCTGTTACTAAATTATTTAAAAAAGATTGTGAATGGAAAGACATTTACCTGCTCATGAGCACAGAGACTGCATGGCAAATCATTTCTTTAAATTCCCACCACCTTTCCATATTGTTATGTAGGAATCAAATTTCAACATGAGTTTTGATGGGGACAAATTACATCCAAAATATATCTGTGTTCATAACTGATCTTGATGCGTTTTCATAAGAGATACTGATCTGTGTTTGGTATTTTTGTCATGACATCCTTGTCCTGATGGCATAAGGGCACTATTGCTCTCATGGAATCTGCTATAAATGTTTCCTCTCTTTCCGATTTTGGAAAGATTGTGTACCAAACTGGTGTTAATCCTTCTTTAGATGTTTAGTGAAAATTGCCAGTGTATTTTTCAGGGCAAGTTTCTGATTATTACTGCAGTTTCTACTAATGTAGGCTTTCGTGTGATTCCTATAGAGTCTGTTTTGGTAGTTTTCATTTTTCCAATCACCTGCCTACTTTAAGTTCTCCAATTTGTTGACGTGTGTCCCAGTTTTTTCATATGAATACAGATCTTAATTTCCACAATAATTTTGGATATCTTTCACATGCTTATTTGGCACCCATATATCCTCTTTAATGATGATTCTGTGAAAGTACATTTTGAGTTTCTTTTTTCTTTCTTCTTTTTCCTTGTATTTCTTTTTATTCTTGATTTAAGGAGTTTTGAAAATCCTTTTTTGGAATATTAATACATAAACATTTTCTAGAATTTGAATCTTTTCTTTCTTTACATGATCTCTTTTGTATAACAGGTTTCCTTTTTATTAAAGTCCAATTTGTTACTTTAAAAAATTTTATGGATTGTTCTTTAAGTGTCATGTCTAAGACCTTTTTGCCTAATCAGTAAGTTTTCTTTTTATATTTTCTCTTAAAAGTTTTACACATATACGTCTGCATACAATTATTCATTTTGATAGTTTTTAAATCACAAAATTTGTATTCTACTTTTTGTATATGAATATTTAATTTTTCTAGTATTACTTTTCAAAAGACTATTATTTTTAACTTGGATATTTTTACTACACTTGGGCAAAACATTGTCATACTGAGGTCATCTTCTGTCTATTCATTCTGGTTCATTTACATATCTATCTGTCTACCTTTTGCCAATTCCATGTTATTTTGATTATTATAGGTTTATAATAAGTCTTTCTAATCATAGCTTTATAATAAGGATTTCTGATTTTCTAGATTTGTCCTGGCTAGTATAGTCATGAATTCATATGTAAATTTTAGTATACTTTTTTGAGAGCTAAACTTTTCTGGTGTCTAAGACTATTTTGTACAACTACAACAAATCCCACAGACTAGGTAATTTCTAAAGAATAGAAATTTATTTCTGGAGGCTGGAATTCCAACATAGGAAATAAGCTTTCAATTTGTCCCAGTTCAAAATATAAGAAGAATCAAGATACATCATATACAGATAACATTCGCTGTAATGAATGTTGTCATTGCATTAATTTAAATTGTACCAATAAACTTAAATTTAAAAGCATGCATAGTAATTTTTTCTCTTAATGTCTCTTAATGTCTCTATTAGATTAAGGAGGATTCCTTCGGTTTCTAGTCTTGGGGGACGCCCCAAGGTTCCCCTGAGGAACAGCAGGAGCAACCTGCCTACGCGAACGTAGCTGTGTAATGGCTACACTAGTTCATGGTGAGACTTCATCCTGAAATAATATTGAATTTATTGAATTTTTTTTGTATCAATTGAACTTATAATCAGTTTTTATGTTAGAATATTTACATGTATTGATTTTCCAATGTGGAATTTAATCAAATTCATTTATTCATAATATAGCATCATTCTATATTGTGCTGGATTTAATTTATTAATATTTAGCTTATACTTTTCCCATCTATCTTCATGTGGGTTACCAGACTGATTCTTATTTACTTTCAATGTATTTGTGTAGTTTTAGCATTAAGATTAGCCAAGTCTCATAAAACAAGTTCTAAAGTCTTCCCTGTATTTTACTTTCTGACTACTTTAATTTTTACTAGTGTGTTAGTGAATTACTGGAAGTTCAGTGTACACCAACCTGCGTTAAAGTTTCCAGAGAAATCCAGCATAGCAAAAGGGGCTTTCTTTTTTATACATTTCCATAATTTCTATCAGGTTCTTAAAATTAATAACTGGAGAAAAATTTCTTTGTACTTTCAGTAAAGAGAAGGAAAAATAACCATTTTGATATATGTCTTTTAAAATAAGCCCTGACTTCAAGGGAAACAAGTTTACCAGAATTAATCAATTACAATTTTCTCTTACCTATTGAAGTTAACTCACCTGGGGAAGGAAAAGATCTTCCTGCCCCTCGCTACTCATCAGCAACCACCCACAAGGTGGAAAACATTGAGAAGCACTCATGAATTTCACTACCCAAGAGCACAGGCTCCCTAAAATACTAAAACTTACTGAGAAAATCACAGGGTGCTTCTCGTTCCAACACATTTTATCACCACATCACTTCCTTTTCAGATTTCCCTTTACCCAGTAGTCATGTTTGGCTTTCAAAACCTTTCAACACTTGCTAAAGCACAGACACCATAGATTGAAGAGACATAGCAGACTCAGATATTGAACTTATAGATCAAGAATTTTAAAGTAACTAATAATTCATGTGCTAAGAAATATCATAAAGTGCATAATATGTAAAAACAGATGATGTAAGAAGACAGAAATTCTAAGAAAAATAGAAAAGAAATGTTATAGATCAGAAGTACTGTGTCATAAAACCTTTGACAATTTCATTAGTAGACTAGATAGACCTAGCTCAGGAAAAAATACTTGAGCCTTGGTCTTTTAACCAATAGAAAATTCTGAAACTAAAGTAAAGGGAATAAAGACCAAAAATTTTGAAAAGACAGTCCAAGAACTGAGACAATGGCAATGTGTGTATCAGAAGAAGAAGAAAAAAACACTCAAGGCAATAATAACTATGACTTTCCCTAAATTAATGTCAAACATCACACATAGGATCTGCAAACACTAAGCAGGATAAATTCCCAAAGAAAACAGATCAGAACAAACAAAAGCACTGTACCTAAGTATGCAACCTACAAGTGATGACACTTGTTAGTATATGGCACTGTGGGCTGAACCCAAGACCTCCAGCATGCTAGGAAGTGCCCTGCACAGAGCTGCATCTTCAGCTCTGAATTTAAAATTCTGGAAGCCAGAGGGAAGAAACTCAGCTCATCTATATGGATGTATAGACACAAAATTGCTGTATATCCAAATTTTTAGGACCCATACAAGCAAGAAGAAAGTAATCAATTAAGTATTGACAGAAAAGAACCAAAGAAATGGAATTCTGTAAAACTGTCCATCAGATGTTAAAGAAAAATAAAGACAGTTTATACAAAAAAGCGTAATAATTTCATTAGACTCATCCTCAAAATCGTTAGAAGTCCATTAGAGAGGGTAAAGGACACAGATCAGATCATTGGAGAGACAAATAAGTACTCAGAAAATCATGTAAAACAAAATTTCATTTTTTCTTAGTTGATAATAGATAACAGTTTGTTAAAAAAATAAAAACAACGCATTCCACAATAGTAGATTACCTAAAAGTGAAATGATTCATTGTTCAATTGTTTTATCATTTTTTCATGCCTACATTTTGTAATCTGAACAACTATTTTGAAGATAACAACACACAATATATTAGGCAGTGTTCTCTGTTATTTTGTTTTGAAATTCTGTGTTACTGTTTTTATTCTTTTTCATTTTTAATGTATAAAAGTGGAATGAATGACAGTGATGATAGCAGAGACACGACATAAATACTACTGGGAATAGTTGGTTATTTTGCACTACTTGGAATGCTATGGCATCATGTTTTGCCCATGTTGCAAACAAGACCCCCTTCCTCCTTCATTTTAGGCTCTGGTAATCACCACTCTATATCCTTGTTGTGTGTATTTGACTATGCTAATTTCCTGTATTTCATATGTCATTCTTCTGTAACTGACTGATTTCACTTAATACAATATTCTTCGTTTTCATCTATGTTGTTGCATTTGACAAAATTTTCTTCTAAGTGTTAAATAATACTATATCATATGTAGATGGTATTTTGCTTATTCATTCAATCATTCATTAATGAATGTAGGGTTCTTTCCATGTTTTTGTAACTGTCAATAATGTTGCTGTGAACGAGTCTACACATATCTCATTGAGCCCCTCCAGTCGGTTAATTTACTATAGATCCATCCGAGGAATTTCTTGATTATAAGTAAATATTTTAAAAATGAGTCGCTATATTATTTTCCATAGCAGCCACCCCTTTTCACATTCTCACTAACATCATACAAGACTTTCAGTTTCTCCACACACTTCCCGCAGTTAATTTTACATACTTCCCAACCCATAATAATCACTGTGTATTCAAATAAACAGTTTAGTTCTCATCTACGAAGGACTACATGTGGTAGTTGTTTCCTGAGTCTGGCTGATTTCCCTCATCATTCTATGATTTAGTTCTATTTCATCTTAATGGATTAATAATATTCTACTCTAGATAAATACCACATTTTCATTATCTGCCCATTTATCCACAGGCCGCTAGACAGGTTCTACATACTATCTATTGTTAATAGTGTCATGATAAACACTGGTGTGCAGGTATAACTTTTGTACGCTGATTTTATTTCCTTTGAATTTATACTAAATAATGGGAAAGCTAATTTATATAGTAAGTTTACTTTTAGTCTTTTTGAAGAACCTCCAGCCTGTGCACCATAATAGCTGTGTGAATTATTTTCAAAGTAACAATGTGTAAGAGTTCTATTTTCTCCACAAATTTATCATTGACTTTTTAAAAATAACAAAAACCATTCTAGCTATTGTGAAATCATATTTAGTTTTCATTTTTATTTCAGTTTTCCTTATGGCTAATCGTATCACGCGTTTGTGTATGTTTATTGGCCATTTGTATATCTTCCTTTGAGAATCATCTACTTAGGTAATTTGATCATTTTTAATTGGGTTTATTTTGATTTTTATTACTTTTTTTAATTGCTTATATATTCTGAGCATTAATTCTCTGTCAAAAGAAGTCAGAAAATATTTTTTATTCTGAAGTTTACCTTTTTGCCCTTACTTTACATACTGTACAGAAGCCTTTTACTGTGATGCAATCCCATCTGTCAATTTTTGCTTTCATTTCCTATGTATTTGGGATAATTTCTAGAAAATCATTGCCTGTATGTCTTGGTTACTTTCCTCTCATTGCTGGAACAAAATACCAGACACCCAAAAAAGAAGGAAGAAGAGGTTTATTTGTCTCACTATGGTGGTTTCAGTCCATAATCAGCTGGATCCAAGATATGATAGCATGGCACAGGGGCACACTGCAAGGAAGCTGCCACAAAAGCAGCCAGAGCAAAAGAGGGGGAGATGAGCTTCTTTTCCTCCCATATATTGTATGCAGGCCACCCCTGCCCCCAGCACAGATGCAGCACTCACAAAATCTCTGTGCCCTCCTCTTGCACCAAAAGAGAATATTTATAAAATAAAGACCCTGCTCCCTGCTAAGTCTCTTATACTTTTAAACTTCTCAAGTTGACACAGGGTATCACCAGAACACTATAGCAAGGCATTGTATACATTTTTTTCTGTAGATGAAATGACTTTCATTTACTTCCTATATCAGTTGTCAAGGATGGTATTATCTTACACTTGAGACTAAATCGTTTTAATTTGTACTTATGTCTCTCATGCAAACCAGAAACTCTTGCTATGGGTTTTCATTATATATAGTTTTTCTTCTATCTTTTTATAGATGAGTTAAAACTATTTGAGTAAGTGATTTCTATAGTTGGGTTATTTAAAAGATAGTATAATTCTAATGAAATGAGGTTCTTTGTTGAAAACATTTGGTTACGAAGAGATTATGCTTTACTCCGTAAAGTATGAAGTGGCATTTCCTTATAGATCCTTTCTTGGCGAACTGTTAGCTTCATACATCTCAAATTACTAGTATCAGCATTTAAACACATGCTCTACTTTAGGATATTTTATGTAGAAGAACAATGCAAGTTGGTCTACTATTGAAGATCAGGCCCACAACTTCCCAAAGAAAATGATGAAGGTTTAATTAAAAGAGACCAGGGATATGATTTTAGGGTTCTGCGACGATTAAAACCTTCCAGCAGAATTGGATACTCTCTGGGGATAGAGACAAAGAACTTATTGAGGTGCTCCATATTTATTTGGATTTCAGACAAAGGAAGGAAATACTGAGGAGAGTTTGGGCAGCTGAGCAGGACCATCAGAGTCAGTTCAAAGACTTCTCCAAATAGTAAATTATGCTAATGAGGAGAACTATCTTAACTCCAGGTTAGCATTCATGGCAGGGCAGGGGTGAGATGCTGGAAACTGCAGTCTCTATGTAGTTATTTGGGATTGGAGCCTCAGCTGGGACAAGTGACTCACAGAGGTTCGCTTCCTATGAATCCACCGCCCACCTCCAGACAAGGGGCTTAAGCCTGGGACAGACTCACAAGTAAACATAGAAAGCAAATTGATTGATCATCAATCCTGCTCAGATCTACCTTCTTGTGGTCCCTATTATCCTACAATTACATTGAAAATCAAGTGATGACAATGGAAATTTCCCCTGACTTCCTAGAAAAAGTCTAAGAATATAATGT